GCGGGCTAACCTCGGACAGCAGGTGGCCTGTGTAAGCTAACCTGCGGCAGTGGGCGAGGAGCCAGAGGAGAGCCTTGCACCCCCCACCCTACCACTCACCCCTGGAGATGGATCCAGAGCCACCCTGAGGAGGGTCCAGGAGTTGGGGGATGTGCCTGGCAGGGGTCTCTGTTGACACCCCCACAGGCTTAGTGTGGAGCCGAGGGGGGGTGGCAAGGCAGCCTCCACCGCCCCCCAGTTCGGTGCCCCCCCCACCAACAGGTCACTCCTGCCAGTCCCCTGTGCCTCCAAGCCCAGACCAGCCCCAAGGTGACCTGCCTCCCAGCCCCGGCTCCTTGCCCACCCACCCATAGGTGGAGGTGGACTGAGGGGTGGAGCGAGCCAGGTGTCTGTCCTCCTCCAGGCCCCTGGCTGGTCCCAAGCTCTGCCCATTCTCAGAATAGCTGGCCTCGGCACCGGCAGTTGGGCCTGGGCCCTGTCCTTCCTTCTCGCCTGCTGGCTCTGTGGGATCCACTTGGAGCTCCCAGGCCCCTCCTGGAGAGCCACCAGCACAGTAACAGACCGAGGGAGGCAGTTGGACCTCGGCCCCAGGTGCATGGCCACGCAGGTGAGCCTGCTTATGGCCATGTGCCCAGTGCCTGGCCACCCTCCCCGCCTGGGCCCGGCTGCCTGGCCCTGCGTCTGGAGCTTCCCGGCACAGGCCATCTGTGCCAGGAATCCCTGGAAGGTCTGCTCCCCCAGCCTGCCGGTCAGCCTGCCGGTCAGAGGGAGGGCTGCAGGTCCCAGCTCCCACCTGCCCAGCTTGTCACTGGGCAGCCACCCTTGCCTGGGCAAAGTGGCTCCTTCAGCATGCCCAGACCTCCCTGCTCTGGCCTCTTGCCAAATGAACGAATGAATGAGGACAGACACATGGGATGCAGACCCTTTTGCCCTGCCCTTGCCCATGACCCAATCCCATGTTTGTAGGCCGCTGTATGCCCAGGTCTGGGGCCACTCACCATGTGAGTTCTTGGCGCCCCGGCTCCTGGGGCTCCCCGCCCAGCCCTTCCCTGGCTCCCAAGAGCAGCTTCCTGTGAGTTTCATCACCAGCTCCACCACGAGCCTCCAGCCACAGCTGGACCGGCCATGGGGAAAAGGAGGTGGTCCTGCCAAGGGACACACCTCTGCCCAACACCTGTGGTAGGTGTCAGCCATGCACGATCTGCAGCCACACGTGTGGATTTATGGCACGGCGGGGGTGCGTGGTGGGCCCTGATGGCCAGCACTGTCTGAGCTGACAGACGCCAGGCCCCGAGCCACGGGCTGGGGCAGTCTCTCCCTTAACCCTCCACCAGAAAACGAACCTTAGCTCGATTTCACAAGGCAGGAGCCTGAGACACAGAGGATGTTTTAATTTCTCTGTAGCCACAGCACCCCTGCCAGGCACCCTCACAATGCCTGTGGCAGGCAGTTCCTGTCACTGCCTGTCCCCTGGTGAGCAGGCCCAGGCCCAGGCAGGTCAGGGGCAGGTGAGGGGCAGGGCCTCTGACTGCCAGGCCAAACTGTCCGTGACCCTGGGACTGGCTCGCTTCTACCTACGAGCTTGCTGAGCTGAGAGCACACCCTTCAACCAGGCCCAGCCTGTGCAGGGAGCCCTGGGGGCTGCAGGGGTCCAGGCAGCTCCCTGACAGGTTTGCTGTCGGCATCAGCTGGGTCTGCCCAGCGCCCCTTTGGGCCAAATTACACCCATCGCTGTAAACACATTTCAGGGTAAATGGGTAGTTTGTAATTCACTTTTTGTGGTGGTGCTAGAAGAAGTGGGCGGCCGCAGCTCATGAAAAATTAAAAGTGAAGGAGGCTTCGTGACTTCCTGGGCACTGCAGGCTCCGCTTCTCGGGGCCAAGTCTGCCGGCCCGGCAGCTCCCCCACCACCCCTCTCTCTCCTCCCTCTGTGGGTGGATGCTGCTGCTGCTGCTGAGCACGTGGGGAGGCTGTCCAGACGAGTGTCACCTGGGAGAGGGGACGAGGGTCGCTGGGCCTTCCCCCTCTGACAGTTGACTCAGGCTTCCATTTCGGGGGGGCCAGGGAGAGGCCAGAGGATCTCTAAGGGAAGGCATCTGGGCATGCCTAGTCCTGGGCCAGGAGTCCTGACCCCACGGGCCCTGGGCAGGGACTTCCAGTGGGCAGCGGGGGAGGACCATGAGAGGCACATGTGCCGGGAGTGGCTGGCCGGCGACGGGGAGGGCTAGGGTTCAGGTTAGGCTTGGCATTGGAGACCCCAGGGAAGGAGCTGGGAGAATTTCCCGGGGTTTCCTAGCAGAGAAGGCAGGAGGAGCCAACCGATGCTGGCTTCCTGGTCTTTGCCTCAGTTTCCCTGCTCTGGTCTTTGGTCCCGGGAGGTGACAGCAAGAAGCAGGGGCCAGCCCTGGAGGGTGGGGCAATGGTGTGGGATAGAGCACTGGATCTGAGGGCAGGTGTCGGGGCTGAGGTCAGGCCCCGATGAGGGTTGGCCAGGGAGGACAGGGCCGGGGCTGTGCTGCCCTCACTCCTGGGGGTGGGAGGTCAGAGACGAGCCCTCCTGGGGGCCGAGTCATGGGAGATAGACGGGCAGGTGGGCGGTCAGGGACGTCTTACCTGGTGATGTCCAGCTGTCCAGCAAGTTGGGGCAGGGGAGGCAGAAGTGGGTGGGACCCCGAGGAGAGCCTGGAGCCTTTGGGTTGAGGGCTCTCAGTGGCAGGGAGGGCTGAGTGGGGGGCCATTCAGGTGGCCGCGGGGGAAGTGGGAATGTCTCTGGGACTTGCCGATGGGTCTGGGGTCTGACATGCGGAGAGTAGAGTGGAGCGGGGTGCCCTGCGGTCTGAGGGGGAGGCCTCCTGCGTGGGGAGGGGCAGATTCTGCTTGGTCTGGTGAGCAGCACCCCTGGAGAGATGACCCGGGGAGCGGGGGCAGAAATGCGCTGGGGGGCTCCGAGCAGAGCCAGGGTTTGGAAGCCACCTTGTGCAGGTGGGGCCAGGCGGGCGGTGAGAGGGTGCCCCCCATGCAGGGTTGGGGCAGGGGAGTCAAGGAGACTGGAGGAGAGACGAGGGGACCAGGGTGGGCGGCAGTGTTCCAGGAGGCTGAGGAGGAAGGTGCGAGGCTCGGCCACCAGCTGCGTGGGCCAGGCAGGGCCCTGCTGGCCAGATTAGGGTCCGGTGGGGGGGGGGGGGCGCCTGGGTGGAGGGGCACGAGTAGGGGAAACCCCTCCATTGGGGCTTTGCTGTGACCGGGCAGGAGAGTGTCAGGGAGGGTGTGTTTCTGAGCTGGGTGCTTTGGGGACCCATGTGGTCCCCCAGTAATGTGGTGGGTGCTGCGGGAGGGCATGGGCTCCACTGAGGGGCATCTGTCCCCCTGACCCCTGGGCCCAGGCCCAGCCTAGCTTGTCTGACCAACTCCCCAAAGAGACCCTTGGGGGCTTCTCCTTACCCAGCTCCAGGTGGCACCTTCAGAGGAGCGTGGGACTCAGGGGTTCAGAGATGAGCTGGGAGGGTGTGGGGAGGGCTTCAAGGAGGGAGGGGAAAGGAGTCTGTGCTGGGGTACAGTGGAGTATGCTGAGGTGCAGTGGGAGGTACAGTGGGGTGCGCTGGGGTGCTGTGAGGTGTACTGGAGTATAATGGGATGCAGTGGGGTACATTGACCTGTGGCTCTGGGTTTGGACCCTGCTGGCCAGTGGGAGGCCTGTCCTGTTGCCCTGGCCCCAGGAGTCCAGTGTGTGGCCGAGTGATTGCACTACACCAGGACCCAAGAGTGGGGGAAGGGCCCCACGCCACAACACTTCCTCCTGGGCCCTTCCTGAGCCCTGTGCCCAGCAGAGGCCCCTGGGCTCCAGCCTGGGGCAGGTCAGGGAGGGGCTGGGGCTCTGCCCAAGGCCCCTCCTGAGGGCCCCTCAGCAGGGCAGGTCCAGACAGCTGCTGCCAACACGTTGTGTCTATCACTTACTTTGCCTAAAACAGGCTTTGGGGAACGATGAATATTTTAGACGCTTTCTGGAGATGTTGGGGTGGCCAGCCCCAGGCAGAGCAGCGCCATTAAACTTTCAAGGCAAGAGCGGCGTTAATTTCTGCGTTGACGGGAGCAGGAGCCTGGTCGGGGGGGAGGAAGTCCCCGGCTCATTGCCCAGGTGTTGGAGCCAGGGGACGATGACAGGGAGGTGGGTGGAGTGGATGGCCATGTCTGCTCCATCCGTCATGCTCCATCCATCCTGCCTGCTGTGAACACTGGAACTGTCATTCTGGTGGAATGTTAAGCTGTCGCCTGGCTAGCATGCTGGGCACAGCCGGCCACAGCAGGCCCATGTCCAATGCAGAGGCAGCGAGGGCAGCAGCCCATGGCCCCAGGCCCCACATGACCCTGGTGACCAGATGGCCCTTCCCCATCCACCTCCCCCGTTTGACATACCCCGCCAACTCCTGCTGGGTCCACTCTGGTCTGTTCCCAGGATGTCGGGAGCCTGGCAGGAGCTCAGAGTGTCTAGGGGTTGGCTGGGGTGCAGGCCAGCCCAAGGGAAGGGGAGTGGCCTTGGCTGGAGGGGCCCCACTGCTGGCCTGCGGACTGATGCAGGAAGGCTGCTTCCTTCTGGCCCATCTGCCCTGACCCTCCTGCCAGCTGCAGCGAGCCTCAGGGCACAGCCACCAGGGGCCACCAGACAGAGCAACTGACCCTGGGCTTCTGGGACATTCTATATAGATAATATGGTGTGTTTTGAGCCCCACGCTATAGGCCACCCAGGGCACACAGGGTGGTTGCCTATGACAATTGGGCCTGAGAGAGTGGCGTCCAGCGAGCACCCAGATTGCCAAGTGGCTTTGGAAGGGCTGGTGGGCAGGTCTGCTGGAGACTGGGGGGCACTCCTGGCCTGAGTGGAGGCGTCAACCCGGCCACCACCATCCGTCTGTCTGTTTGCTCGGCACCTGAGGTGCGGGAGAAGCCAGTTGGGCCGAGCCCCCGCTGGCCTGGAGCCCCCATGCACCTCTCCTGCCCCCCAGGGTCCAGGTGGAGTTCTACGTCAATGAGAACACCTTCAAGGAGCGGCTCAAGCTGTTTTTCATCAAAAACCAAAGATCCAGTGAGTGGCGCCTGCGGGGAGGGTGGGGCGCCAGGACTGAACTTCCCTGGAACAGGCAAAGCGTGTGCCCGGTGATGGCTGGTGTGGGGAAGGGCCTGCACAGAGAATGGGGCTGTGTCGGTGAGAGGTGGGTGCGGGGGCCCTCATCTCAGCTTCACACCCCCTTCCACCTAACCGGAGATGGGCCCTGGAGCCTGTGGGGATGCCGCCCTCCTGCTGGACACTGGGCTGGGCTCTGGCAGTCTGGGGCACCAGCTCGCCTCCTCCCCTGTAGCCCTCCGCCCTCCGGCCCTCACCCTGAGGGGCTCCCTGGCCCCCTCCATGCGGTCCCACCCTCCTCCCTGCAGGCTGCCCCCACTGGCCTTCCCAGCAGGAGCTTGACCACCTCAAACCCTTCCTGGGATGCAGGGCGGGGCGTGGAGGTTGTGCCCTTGGATCCCAGCTCATCCATTTGCTCCCCCGACCCCCACCTGTTCTGCCCCAAGGAGCAAGTGGCTCAGGGAACCCTCCGCACCCACATCTATCACGTGGGACGCAGATGGAGCCTCTCAGAGACCAGCCCAACAGCAGCTGCCCAGGCCATGCGGAGCACCCCATCAGCCCTCTCGGGAGCGGCCCAGCCCTGGGGGGCCAAGAGGTGGATGATAGTGGGACCCTGGGCAGCCCAGGAGCCCTGACACTCCCCTCCCCTCCCCTCCCGCAGGCCTGAGGATCCGGCTGTTCAACTTCTCCCTGAAGCTGCTCACCTGCCTGCTGTACATTGTCCGGGTCCTGCTGGACGACCCGGCCCTGGGGATCGGATGGTGGGTGACCTGCGGAGCTGGGAGCTGAGGGGCCCTGCTGCCATCACAGAGGCTGATGGGGTCAGCATGGGGTCTGTGCCCTGCGCCCGATGCCCAGGGCCGTGGGGAGTCCTTCCTTCCCTAATGTGACCCCTGTCCCAGTGTCCGCCCCCACCGAGCTGAGCCTAGGACCCTGCCCTCAGGCTCCAGCTGACCACTGGCTCGATGTAGGCAGAAGAATGGACAGTGGCTGTGTCTGCAGCTGCTCCTTGACCTGGAAAGATTTCTCCTGAGGGTCTGGGGTGCCCCCCCACTGAATGGTGCAGGGGAGGGGCTCAGCAAGGGGCTCTGTGCTCCCGTCAGCTCCTGTGGGGTGGGGACGGCCGCCCCCAGTGCTGGCAGAGTCTCCTTCTTCTTGAGGCTCAACCTGGTTCTGCCAGCCCCTCCTGGACCCCCCGGTGTCCTCTTCCTCAGTCACTTCTGTGCTGCTGTGACTTCCAGGGAAAGACGGTGGGAATAAGCTGCCTGCCGCCTTCAGGGCTGAAGTCTGGGGTGGGCCCACAAGTGAAGGAGCGGGGCCTCGTTCTTCCTCTAGCTGCATCGTCTTCCTGCTGCCCTGGCTGCTGTTAGGATGTCCCTGCCCTTTCCACTCATGGTCCTTGTGGGAAGCACAGTTTTCTTTCCTGGAAGCCAGTGGAAGCTTCTCTCTGGGCCCGTGTCTGACAAGGCTCCATGACACCATGGTGTGGTCCCCTTCTCATCGCCGTGTTGTCCCAGTGGACACCGAGCTGGGTCCACTCAGGGCTGGACTTGTCTTGAATTAAGTCTTTGGAAATACCTTTCCCATCTCCTTCACATGCTCTCTCTGGACTTCCCGATATTCCCATGTTGGATTCTGGAATGATCCTGTACATTTTTTATCCTCTCTCTCCTATTTCCCATCTTTTGCTCTTTCTGGGGAATTTCATTAGCTTTATTTTCAGCACTCTGAGTTTTCCATTTCTGCTCTCATGTTTTCTAATTTCCAAGAATTAGGATTGGTGAGGCAAATGGATGGGTGAAGGGGCTGGTGGATAGATGGGTAGATGGGTGGATAGGTGGGTAGATGAGTGGGTAGATAGATGAATTATGGATAGATGGATGCATGGGTGGTGCATAATGGATGGATGGTGGGTGGGTGGATGGTAGATAAATGGATGGATGGATGGTAGATGGAGAGATGGTGAATAGATAGATGATGGGTGATGAATGGAAGGATAGATGGACAGATGGGTGAGTGGATGATAGATAAATGGATGGTGGATGGTGGTTGGATGGGTAGGTGGATGGATGGATTGGAGGATGCATGGTGGATAATGGATAAATGGATGGATAGATGGTATGTAAATTGATGGGTGGATGGTGGACGGATAGATGGTGAATAGACAGATGATGGCTGATGGATGGAAGGATAGATGGACAGATGGGTGAGTGGGTGATAGATAAATGGATGATGGATGGTGGTTGGATGGGTAGGTGGATGGATGGATGGGAGGATGCATGGTGGATAAGTGGATAAATGGATGGATAGATGGTATCTAAATTGATGGATGGATGGTGGACGGATAGATGGTATATAGATGGATAGATGGATGGATGGATGGATGGTGGATGGGCAGGAGGATAGCCAGCCACTTCCATGGGTGTTGAGTTTATAACAACAGCCCCAATAAGGCTCAGAAGGAAGTGAAGTGGTCAGTTGAGAGAAAAGGGGGAGAAAGCTTCTCGTCACCATGGGGCTCTGTGAGAGTGAGGTCCTCTTGATCAGCGACCCTGACACTGGTTGCAATCTCAGGCAGAACTAGCATGTCTGCCATGCCCCTGCCGCCGGAGCATGCCCCAACCAGCAGCCGGGTGTCCAGGTGGCTTGAGGAGGCTTGTCATTAAGAGTGACTTAGGGACCTAAATCTTGGAGTCAGTACCTTGGAGTGAGAGCTCAGTTTTGTCTCTCAGCTCTGTCTCACGGGCATTGTCCAGCCTTGTTTGCAGCAGCTCCGGCCTCCAAGAGGCCCTGAGTGCTCCACGGTAGTGCCGTGCACGGCCCTTCCCCAGCAGCCTGCGGTCAGGCCAGGCTGCATTCCCAGCTCTCTCTTGGGCTCCACCTCTCACGTCCCGGAGTGGGTGTGTCCTCATCCAGCCTGCCGGCCCCTCCTCCATTAGAGACTCTCTCTGGGGGTCTGCAGGGCGGGGCAGGCTGCCTCTTCACCCAAGTGTTGGAGCACAGATGCAGTCTAAGATGGGGGGTTAGCCCTGGGCAGGTGCACCCCACACTCCCTGAGCCCATGGCAATCCTGGGAAGGGCCCCTTCAGGGGCCGCGCTGGGAAGGGCAGCCGGGCCAGCTCCGTCTCTCCACAGCTGGGGCTGCCCGAAGCAGAATTACACCTTCAATGAATCATCCTCCGAGATCAATTGGTAAGTTCACTGCCCAACTGGAAGACCTTTCCCTGGCCCCACTCCCGCTCAGAGGCCCAGGGCCAGAGTAGGGTGAGGTTGATCTTGTCCAGCCCGACCCCGGGCCCTGGCTGAGCAGTGGGCAGCGCTGGAGATATCCCTGCAAAGTACCTCGAGGGCCCCCAGAGCAAATTAAGACTTACAAGTGTCACTGAAAGCCGGCCTGACCCACCCACCATGTCTTCCCTCCTGGCAGCAGGCAGCCCCTGCCCCTGCCTCTGGTGGGGGCAGTGCTCAGTCGCTGCTTCCCCAACTCTTGATGCTCTGAGCCAAGGAAAGCGGGCGCCCTGGTCAAGTAGTGGGAGTGACCCAGAGCGACTGGGGACTCCCCGTCCAGAGGTTGGGATGTGTCCCCAGGGTCTTGGCCACCTCCTGGTGGAGGAGCTTCTACCTTCCAGCCTCACACGCTTTATCCCCAACACCCAGAGCCCCCGTGTTTTCAGCCGAGGAGGGACTGCCCCCTCTCAGCCCTCATCCTGCACCCACACCCCCTTGGCACTCCCTGCCCTGCCCTGCCCTGCACAGCCGCCACCCTCCGTTCTTCCAGAGGCTGAGTCTCGCCTCTCCATTCCCCTGCATCTCTCCTCCCTGTTCCTTTCCCCTCACGGTAGCCCTGCCCATTTAGGGGTGAGGAGCTCAGGTTAGGAACACCCAGAGTGGGGCTGGTCAGCACCTCCCCAGCAGCCCCACACGTAGAAGCCCCGTCCCCAGAAGCCCGGGTGAGAAGGGGAGGCTGCCTGGGCCTCAGGCTGCCCTTGCCTGAGCATGTCCAGGGTGAAGAGGCCTCCAAGCCTGCGGCCCTGCCCCACGGCAGGCACCTCCCAGGGCGGCCCTACTGACCTTCTTTCTGGGGACCCCCTCCTTCCCTCCACATTCTCCTCCCCTCCGAGGGCAGGGTAGTACTCTCGGTCCAAAGGAGGAGGGGCTTAGGGTCAGCGGAGGCCCCCAGAGGTGGCTGGGGTACGCCCCCCAAAGCTCACCTCCCTCTCTCCCAGGGCGCCCATCCTGTGGGTGGAGAGGAAGATGGCTCTGTGGGCGATTCAGGTGAGTGGGTGGGTGGGCGGCCCTCTCCACCCCCTCCCCTGGCGCCACTCAGAGGCTCCTGTCCCTGCCCACTCCCAGGTCATCGTGGCCATAATAAGTTTCCTGGAGACGATGCTGCTCATTTACCTCAGCTACAAAGTGAGTGCCCGCCTCCCTCCCCCGACCCCTCCCCTCCGTCCGCCCCTCCTCCAGCCCCCAGCCCCATCCCCTCACCCCAGGGTTGGTCTGTCTCTCTCCCCCGCCCCTCCCCTCCTCCGCCCCTCCTCCAGCCCCCAGCCCCACCCCCTCACCCCGGGTTGGTCTGTCTTTCTCCCCGCCCCTCCCCTCCTCCGCCCCCCCCCCCCCCCCAGCCCCACCCCCTCACCCCGGGTTGGTCTGTCTTTCTCCCCCCCCCCCCCCCCCCCCGCCCCTCCTCCAGCCCCCAGCCCCACCCCTCCCCCAGGTTGGTCTGTCTCTCTCCCCCGCCCCCCCCCTCCTCCGCCCCTCCTCCAGCCCCCAGCCCCACCCCCTCACCCCAGGGTTGGTCTGTCCTCTCCCCCGCCCCTCCCCCACCCCCAGGGCAACATCTGGGAGCAGGTCTTCCGCGTCTCCTTCGTGCTGGAGATGATCAACACGCTGCCCTTCATCATCACGGTGGGTGAAGCTGCCGGCTGAGGAACGGGCCGCCCAAGCCCCCAGCCCCCTGACCCGTCTTCTCTGCAGATATTCTGGGCGCCACTGCGGAACCTGTTCATCCCCGTGTTTCTGAACTGCTGGCTGGCCAAGCACGCCCTGGAGAACATGATCGTAAGCCCCACCGCATGCCGGCCCCCCAGCCCTCCCGCCTCGCCTCTGGGCAGCCCCCCAGGACCCCCGGGGCCAAGGCTTGCCACATCCCGGCCCTGGCCAGGCAGAGCCAGCCAGCTCCACTCGGTGCCCCAGGAGGCCGGGTGACAAGTGGAAACACATAATCTGTCACCGTGAATGCCCAACTCCAGCCCTCACGTCCCCTCCCTGAGCCGCACTGAAGCTCAGCAGTGACACAGAAGGAGATCCACCCAGAGCTTTCTTGATCCTGGAGATGGGGGAGGCGGGGAGTGCAAGGTGAGAGCAAATAGGGGCCACGGAAACCAGGACCACATGGCCCAGGGCCACAGGCACACTGGGGCCACGGGCAGACCCTCTGCTGAGCATCTAGGCAAGGTCCCTGTTGCAGAACGTCAGCAGGCAGCGTGACCGCCCCCTCTAAGCCCAGGCTCACACCCCATCCTACTTGTAAAGTGAGGGTACGGTGCTGAGGTCACGGCCTCTGACCTGTGCCCAGGGCCCTCCAGTCCTGGGCCCTTAGCCCTCACCCGCCGTGGTGGAGGCAGGATGGTCTCCTGAGAATGAGAGTGGAGGTCGGGGTGACTGGCCATGGGGCCCTGTGGCTGTCCCCCAGGACAGAGCCGCGGCCGCACCCCTCGCCTCTCCCTTCCTTTACTCACATGTGTATTTGGGACATGTGGCCACGCAGGGGCCCTGGGCTCTGGGGCGGGTCCCCGGCTCTGCCGCTGACAGCGCCCATGTCCCGCAGAACGACTTCCACCGCGCCATCCTGCGGACGCAGTCGGCCATGTTCAACCAGGTGCTCATCCTCTTCTGCACCCTGCTATGCCTGGTCTTCACGGGGTGAGTGCCACCGCCCACTGGGAGGCCCCTCGTGGATCCAGAGGTCCTGCCAGGTGGCTGGCAGACCTCTCCTTGGGCAGAGCCAGGCCCTGGCATCTAAGACATCAGGAAGGCCTCGGCCCTGGGGTGGCGGATGGCAGCCTGGCCAGGACCAAGGACCAGGAGGCAGCTGGGAGCCCATGTTCCCAGACAGCAGCAGATCCAAGTCCGGCTCCTCTGGGGCCTGGGGAGACCCAAGTCTGACTTCCTGGTTGGTGCCTTGGGAGGCAGGTCTGAGGTAGTGGACTGGCCCCTGGCCCAGTGGGGACCCTTCGGTTTGGGGCTCGGCTGAGAGCAAGGTCTGGGAGCAGTCAGTGGGAAAGGTGGGGGCTCCTGGAGCCGAGAGCCCCCCACGCTTCTGCATCAGCCCCCTTTCCCACAGAGGTGCTGGCCTGGCCGGGTCCTGGTGAGACTGGTTACCACCTCCTGTCCCCCGGGCAGGGATGCAGGGCAGGCACCAAGGATGGGGAGGGAAGGAGGACCACATGCTTCCTGCCTCCCCTTCCCACTCCCCTGACACACACAGACCTCAGCAGAGCAGGCGGGGCGTCCATGGGGTGGAAACCTCGAGGGCAACTCACCAGCTCCCTCCAAGCAGCCAGCGCGCCCACCTGTCCACCCCAGGGGAGGGTCCCTGAGCACTGCTGTGTGCTGCCCCATGGCGTGTGCTGTGGGCCCCCAGGCCCTGCCGTCAGCACCTCCCAGTCTGGGGATGGGAACACCGGACCCCAGGTGGGAAACAGGACCATCCAACTCTGTGCTGGGCAGGGGGCTGAGTGTGCCCTGTCTGACCTCCTGGGTGAGGATGAGGCCTTGGGGGCGGGTGGCACGCAGGGGTTCACAGCCTGGGGGCCACACCTGCTCCCCCTGACTCCCAGGCCCACACTCAATCCACACAGCTCTGCGTCCTTGCTCCCAGTGAATTTTTCAGGAGCCTCGAAAGAGCCAGGGAGCAGGAGGGAAAGTCGGGGGAGATCTGAGTGCTGGGTGTCCTGGCTCTGGCAGGCCGCAGGCGGGATCCACTAGGGACCTCCTAGGGGTCCACTAGGAGCCCCAGTGGGCCAAGCAGCCCACACCCCCTACTCCTGGCCAGGACTCAGGCCCAGGTTGTGGGGGTCCCCTGTCAGTGATGGGGCCCCCAGGCTCGGCCTGTGTCTCTGGGTGACCCGGCAATGCTCCATCTCCGGGTGAAGAGGTCCCCTAGGCAGGCAGAGCTGTGAGATGGCTGAGGCCCCACCCACAGCCCCTGATCCCCCGGATTCTAGGACCTGCGGCATCCAGCACCTGGAGCGAGCCGGTGAGAACCTGTCCCTCCTGACATCCTTCTACTTCTGCATCGTCACCTTCTCCACCGTGGGCTACGGCGATGTCACGCCCAAGATCTGGCCGTCCCAGCTGCTGGTGGTCATCATGATCTGTGTGGCCCTTGTGGTGCTCCCGCTGCAGGTGAGCCCCGCCCCCCATTCTGGCCTTTGGCCCCAAGCCCAGCAGGGAGGCGGCCACCCGGACCAGGCAGGAGAGAGAGGGGTGACACTGATTCATGGTGGGCCCTGCCAGGGGCCTGCTGGGCAGTCTGTGGCCAGTGAGGCCCGGGGCCATCAGGACAGTGAGCAAGGGACAGTAGTCTCGGGGTGCCACGTGCCAGCTCCCTTTCTGGACCTGGTGAGGGCGCAGTGTATGAGCAGAGGGGCTGTTGGGGTGGTCGGTGCCCCATTTCCCCCCATGCAGGGGTGGGGCTGGCCGTCAGGAGCCCTCAGCCGGTGCAGCAGTAGCTGTCAGGACTACATGGGGCACACCGGCCTGCTGCTTCCCTGTCCCCTGTCACCTCGGTTGAGCCGAGGTGGGGCAGTGTGGGACCAGAGCCCAGCCCAGCACCACCTGTGTTAGGTGTGAAAGGTGGAGGCCTGGAGAGGGGACCAGCTGGCTTCAGGCACTGCCCCCCCAACCCTGCCCTGGGCTCGGCCCTGTCGGGGAGGGGAAGCAGGGGAACACCCTCCCCTAGGGACCCACACAGCAGCTGTCAGCTGCTCCAGGAGCTGTGGGGGAGGGCACAGCACACCTTCAGTCGGGAGGAAAAGGCCTGGAGAGGGGACTGGGGGGGGGGCAGTGGTGGGGAGCCAGATGCCAAGGTGGACACTCAGGATGTGGAGGGCACCCAACTGCTGCCATGATGGGGCCGGTGCACACAGGGGGACCTCTGCTGACCCTGAGCTAACGCCCTGGCCCTCAGCCCCTACCACAACCAGCACCCCCTCCTCCCTGCTTCCACCCTTGTCCAGAGCACAGCCCCCCTGCGCAAGGCCTGCCATGTGCCAGGGACCCACACGGGGCCGAGAGCCCTGACAGCAGCCTCGCCCCCACCCCTGTGCTCGCCAGAACTTCCCTTCCTGGACCTGCGTCAGCAGTGGCCTCCTCCGCAGGCTCCATCCGAAGCCTGGTCCTCCCCACACTCCATCCCGCCCCATGGCCACCTCTCCCTCATACCCGCTGGCAGAACCCCCTCGGGCCACAGAGCCCCGGCCACCTTCAGAATCTCAGTTCAAATTATATTAGATTTTTATACAATTGTATTTTCTAAATCGTACTTTTAATATTCTTTAGATTGTTAAGGTTTTAAGTTTATATTTTCAAAATTATGTTTTGTATTATATTTTAAGTTATATTTTAATTATATAATTATAAATTATGAACATACTTGTTTTTAATTATAATTGAATTATTCATATTTATTTTTATTTTTTAAGTTTAAAATTATACTTTTACATTACTATTCTGAACTCTTTCAAGCATGCAGAGAAAGTCTGTTCCCCTCAGGAAATACATCAGGAGAGAGAATGGTCAGTCCTGCAGCCTGCCCCCTTCCCATGAGAGGGGCTGGGGCTGTTGTCCAGTCCGTGTGCCTGGGGGACACACAGATTCGTCAAGGGTGGTTTCAACTTAAATGGTGCGAGGCACCCAGGCTCCCTGCCTGATGTTGTCTGGACCCCTCCCGCCCCCATCTCCAGCTGAGGCTGTGCTCCTGTTCCGCTGCTGGGGAGCCAGGCACTCAGGCCCGACACGGGTGAGAGGGATACCCCGAGGAGAGGGAGTCCTGCAGGGCCTGGCTTCAGGGGAGCACATGCATCCCCTCCAAGGCCGGAGTGGGTGGTGGGGACGAAGGACGCAGCTGAGTCACTGTTGGGGCAGCTTCCTGCCCCCTCATTAACTTGGGGAGGCTGGCTGTCTCGTCAGTGACAGAAAGGGCTGGTCCCAACTACCTTCCTGTATTCTTCCACTCGACTGCATCCCCCCGTTAACACCCCTAGAGAGGAGACAAGGAAGTGCCCGCTGTAAATGTCCCTCCCAGAAGGTAGTTGTGATGACAGCTGACAGCATCCTCCTGGCTCAGGGCTGAGTGTCCTCACACATCAGTGGTAGCTTCCTGGGACCACCACAACGAAGTACCACAAACCAAGGGCTTAAAACAATAGAAATTTACTCTCCCAGTCTGGAGGCCAGGGTCTGAAATTGAGGGGTAGGCAGGGCCAGCTCCTCCTGGAGCCTCTGAGGGAGCGTCTGCTCCTTGCCTCCCTCCAGCTTCTGGTGGTGCCGGTGGTCCTGGGCATCCCTGGCTTGTGGCTGCATTGCTCCAATCTCAGCCTCCTCCATCAGGGGGCTTATTCCTGTGTGTCTCTCTGTGTCCTCTCCTCTCCTTGCAAGGACACCAGTCATTGGATTTAGGGTCCGCCCTAATCCCATCTGACCTTATCTTAACTAATTACATCTGCAAAGACCCTATTTCCAAATAAGGTCATGTCCGGAAGTTCCGGGTGGACATGAGTTTTAGGGGGCCTACTACTAACAGTCAGATCATCTACCTCTCACCGCAGCCCTGGGGGGGAGGCACCATCATGCCATTTTGCAGATGAGGGGCCTCAGCTCAGAGTCATACAGCTGGGACAGGTGAGGCTGAAGCCCACGGTGTCTGCCTTCAGAATCCCACCCTGCACGGCCTCAGGGATCACCTTGGGGTCTCAGACCCCTCCCAGCTATGGAGCCAGTCCTGTGCCGCAGAGCCACCGGGTCTTGTCATGGGAACCCAATAGGTGCTGGATAGATTCGTTTCAGCAAAATTACACGGCACGGGTGGGCACCACAGAGGGTAGCTGCTGCTGTTCGTTTTAAACCGTGTTAAATAATGAATGGCCTCAATGCTTGAGACAGAAACAGTTGGCGACTTTCACAGGGTCTGGCTCCCACCTACAGACGTGGAGTCAGACTGCAGCGAGAGACTGGCGAGTCAGCACCCCGGACAGCTCCCCGGAGCCCTGGCAGCAGGCCCTGTGACGTAACGCCCACTTTTACATATCTGTCGTTTTCTAATTTAAAAGGAGTTCCGACATCCAAAGCTCATATCCAGGAAGTGTAGGCCGGGGCGGGCAGCGTCCCCAGACCTCGAATCACCCACACCCTTGACGTTGGCTAGTAACCAGGAGCACGGGAAGTGTTCCTTCCACGCCCAGCGTCTGTTTTCCTAATTCTGTGGCTTGAGAACATCAGTAGGCTAAGATACTTCCAGGCTTCTCCAAAATGGGTCTCCGGTGCTGATGAGAGACGCAAGGTCTCATAGTTACCTGGATGTCCAGAGTGCAGACCTCGCCATCCACTAACGGTCGTTTGGCTGCCTGAGGCGGGAGCTGGACGTGCCGCTATCCCACCCGCCAGCCGGGACGTCCCCATGTGGCCTCTCGCGTGGCCTGTGCCGCGCACACTGCGTCCTTCCGAGTCGCGGTCGGGATGTGGTTCCATCCTTGCCAGACCTCCTTGGTCCTGCTCCGGCCTCTGCCCGGGCTGCCCCCTCCTCTCTTCGTCCCCTGCTCTGTGCTGCCTGGGGCTCCACGTCTGCTGCTTCCACGAGGGAAAGGACCCCCCTGAAGTCGCCGTCACCCCACTGCTGGCCCTGCCCCAGGCCACCTGGCACTCACCTGCTCTTACCTGCAGTTTGAGGAGCTCGTCTACCTGTGGATGGAGCGGCAGAAGTCAGGGGGCAACTACAGCCGCCACCGGGCCCAGACGGAGAAGCACGTGATCCTGTGCGTCAGCTCGCTCAAGATCGACCTGCTCATGGACTTCCTCAACGAGTTCTACGCCCACCCCCGGCTCCAGGTGAGGCCCGCCCACGGCCCCGCCTCGGCTCCAGGGGAGGCCCCGCCCACGGTCCACCTCCAGGGGAGGCCCCGCCCACACCCCGCCCCTGCTCCAGGGGAGGCCCCGCCCACAGCCCCCACTCCTCCCGGCATTGTCCTGAGCGCTCTGGGCCCGGTTTCCCCACCTGTGCGGTGGAGCGTGGCAGCCACGTGGTTTCCTACACTGTAGAGATGGGTCCGTGGGGGTCCCACCTTTCCCTCCCGTCAGATACGCCGTCACTGGGGTCCGGAGAGGCAGTGGGTGTGACACCCCAAGAAGGCAGGGCCGGGTGAGCTCACCACGGGGCTGACTCTGGCCTGCCTGCAGGACTATTACGTGGTCATCCTGTGCCCCACCGAGATGGACGTCCAGGTCCGCAGGGTCTTGCAGATCCCACTGTGGTCCCAGCGGGTCATCTACCTCCAGGGCTCAGCGCTCAAGGACCAGGACCTCATGCGGGCCAAGTGAGGGGGCCTGCAGGCTGCAGGGGAGGGCTTAGCCCTGGGGGCAGGGGTGTGGTCCTGAGCCGGTCCAGCAGTGGCCTTGGGGGTGGGCGGGGTGCAGCGGGCCATCAGAGTGGCAGCAGCTCCAGCCCTGTGCCCACCACCGCCTGGGCGATTCAGACCCTGCACTGACCCGGCTGCTGAGCCGTCCGGGCAGGCCCAGCCTGGGTCAGCCTCCAGGACGTCCTCCCACCCCTGCTGTCTGGGGGATGTTCTTTGTCAGGTTCCAGGAGGGGCTCCGAGTAGATCAGGGTGGGACCATCGCTGCACAGTGTCGGGTGGGAAGACACGGGCTGTGGGTGGGTTTTCTTTTAAAGACAAGCTGACAGAGTGATTTGAGGTAAGAAGACTGTTGGCAGATGGAACTTTCCAGAATGTGCTGGTGCACACTCTGGGACACCCCACGAGCCTTGCCCCACCCCTGACCCAGTCACGATTTCATTCTAGGAACCTGAGGCATCCTTTGTGGTGAAATGTGGGTTGTGGAGAGGCTGGGGAGAGGCAGGAGACCCAGCACTGCGGTCCCTTCACCCACCCACCTCCTGAGCCCTGGGCCCCAACATCTCGCCCATAAAATTGGGGACAGGAATCAAGCCCCCTGCCGGAGGCGGCTCTGACCAAGGGGTGCAGCCTCTCTTGTGATCCGCTCCCCTGGGGAGACGCAGTGGCCGGGAGGAACAAGGCGGGCATGCTGGGTGACCTGAGGGGACAGTTTCTGCAACACGCCGTCTGCGGCCAGGACTCTTGGGGGATGGGAGGGGAGTGGAACTGGTTGTGGGTCCCCAGACCTCGGGCCGTCTGTCCCGGGGGTACAGGCCAGCAGGTACAGTCCACATCTCTGCCATCAAGTGCTCCCCTCCCTCCCACACCCCAGCACCGCCGGGGTTAACGGGGCACAGAGGATGGGCCCCACGGTGGTCAGGGCCCCAGTGCTAGGTCATTAGCGCAGACCGAGGTGGAGCTTGACAGGGCCCCCCTTCCGGCCCCTGCCCCGAGCCCCCGATGGCAAAGACGGAGCATGGACGGGTCCAGGCAGTGCTGAGCCCCGTGCTTTGCAGGATGGACAACGGGGAGGCCTGCTTCATCCTCAGCAGCCGGAACGAGGTGGATCGCACGGCGGCAGTGAGTGCCCCACCCCACCCAGCCCCGCGTAGGGCCCACTGCTGCCACCCACCACGTACCCACCTGCAGCCAGAGCTGGAGGACACCTGAGGGCAGAGAGCCGCCCCGCAGCACTGACCACAACCCCCCCACCCCCAGGACCACCAGACCATCCTGCGTGCCTGGGCAGTGAAGGACTTTGCCCCCAACTGCCCCCTCTACGTCCAGATCCTCAAGCCCGAGAACAAGTTTCACGTCAAGTTTGCAGGTACATGCATTTTGGGGAGTCACGTGTGTGCACACAGGCGAGTGTGCACCTGCGAGGGCTGAGGAGGGAGACTGGAGCTCCATGCACCAGGAGCACACAGGGGCGAGGTGGGGGACAGCTGAGCTCCGTCCTCACCAAGGGGGATGGAGGCAGAGCCCACACAGGTCTGGCTGTTCGATGCCGGTCCTGCACCTGGGGGCCCCGGGGTCAGTGAGGACAGGAGCCGAGGGCAGGGGAGGGGCAGGTACATATGATGAGCACTCTATGGGCATGCGCCAGCTGAGACCTGGGGGTCAGGTGAGCAGGCCCCATGCTGGGCATCCTGGGGGACAGGTGAGCAGGCCCCACCCAGCTCTGGAGCTATCAGTCAAGCTGCAAGACAAGCACAGAAATGCCAAGAGAATGAAGAGGTTCCCGGGGTGGGTGCTGGTCAGGGCTGAGCAGGAGTTCATGGAGCAGACACGGGGGCTTCTATGAAGGGTGCCAGGCAAGGGGGCGTCTGCTGTAAAGACGGCAGGGAGGCCAGCGGGTGACCCCTGACCCTCCTGCCTGCAGACCACGTGGTGTGTGAGGAGGAGTGCAAGTATGCCATGCTGGCCCTGAACTGCATCTGCCCGGCCACATCCACCCTCATCACCCTGCTGGTGCACACGTCCCGCGGCCAGTGAGTGCCCGCCCCCATGGGACTGCCATCCAACCACGTGGTGCCCACCATGCACCATACCTGGGAGACCAGGCAGGGGGTGCGGAAGGTGACGAGGAGACCTGGGAGGGGATACATGTAGCTGGCAAAGGTCCCGCCCGGGTATCGGGGTGAGCCCAGGGGAAATGGCAGGGATGCCACGGACGGGTCATGGGCTCTGGACGCAGCTGAGGACGTCAGGCTCATTCTGGCAGCAGTAGGTGCCGGGGAGCTCTGAGCAGCCCAGTGAGGGATGGGAGCCAGGGGGGGCGGCCAGGGGGCTGCTGGGAGTTGCAGACAGGGCCTACATAGAGCAAGGGCCAGGTGGGGGACGGGGAGAGCCCTGGGTCTTGAGCACAGTGACCAGGCTGCTGGGGCGCGGTTTGGGGAGAAGGTGCATTTGGTTTGCGGCACCTGGGCCTGGGGCCCTGGGCAGAGCCCGAGGCAAGAAGCGGCCCTGGAACAGAGGAGGGACCAGGCAGGGGAGCAGGGGACTGGCCCAGGGTTCCTGGGAGGACCCACAGGCTGCCGAGGCCAGTCTTGACCCCAAACATTTTGGCATCCCCTAAAAATCAGACCATTGTGTTTATAGCTTTTTAAAACTGTCCTTTTTAAAAGGCTCGGGCAGACGGGGAGGTGTCTGGGGTCAAGCTGGCCATGCTGGTGTCCACCCACCACTGTCAGAAGCCATTCTGTGGGGGGTGGGGGGATTGGCAGCCCTGAGCAGGCGGGAGGGGCGGCTGGCCAAGGGGACGACCCGCCCACCCCAGGGAAGGCCAGGAGTCGCCGGAGCAGTGGCAGCGCATGTACGGACGCTGCTCGGGCAACGAGGTGTACCACATCCGCATGGGCGACAGCAAGTTCTTCCGCGAGTACGAGGGCAAGAGTTTCACCTACGCCGCCTTCCATGCGCACAAGAAGTATGTGGCCCGGCGGGCGGGCGGGCCCGGGGCTTGTCCATCCTCCCTCCGGTCAGCTCAGGGCGGGTGGAAGGCTGGGCGGGGCGGCGTGGACAGGCAGGGATAGCCGCAGGGTTTCACGTAGAGTCCACGTTTGGATCCGGGTCCATCCACACAGCCGTGAGACCCGCCACATGGCCCCTCCTTTCTGAGGCTCCCGTGAGGCTGACCTTGGGTCTTTGGGTGAAGTGCAAAGGGGTCCCGACACCCATGAGGGGAAAGCTCGACTGAGGGCCGGACCCCAAATGGGGTCCCTGAATCATCAGCATACTAGGAGCCCAGGAGGGGGACTCTGGGGCCCGTTGGTTGTTCAGAGGCAGAGCGGAAAGCGAGGGTCCTGAGGGTGTGGGGTGGCGGCCCCGTGAAGCCGCCCGCGCCCCGTCCGCCCAGGTACGGCGTGTGCCTCATCGGGCTGAAGCGGGAGGAGACGAAGAGCATCCTGCTGAACCCGGGGCCCCGGCACATCCTGGCTGCCTCCGACACCTGCTTCTACATCAACATCACCAAGGAGGAGAACTCCGCCTTCATCTTCAAGCAGGAGGAGAAGCAGAAGAGGAAGGGCTTCTCGGGGCAGGGCCTATACGAGGGGTCCTCCCGCCTGCCCGTGCACAGCATCATCGCCTCCATGGGTGAGGCCCGTCGGAGGCGGGTGGGACGTGCTCCTGGCCATGGTGGGGGGGGGGGGGGGGGAACCCTTCCAGCGCTGGGCTCAGGTAGGGAGGGGCCGGAGACCAGCTCTTCTGGGCCTGCAGGGTGACCTCGGGCAAGTTACGTCTCTCTGGCCTCAGTTCTCACACCTGTCCAGTGGGTGTATCCCTGCCTTCCTGTGGGGACTTTGTCGGCATCGGTGTCCAAGTGCCTGCTGGTGTGAGGCTGCCCTGGGTCAGGGGTCACTCTGTCCACCTCCACTCCAGAACCAGCCACCCAGGAAAGCCTAGGGAGGGGCTGCCAGCCAAGTCCAGGCACTCTGTTCCAGGGACAGTGGCCATGGACCTCCAGAACACAGAGTGCCGGCCACCACAGAGCAGCAGGGGCAGTGGGGGTGGAAAGCTGGCACTGCCCACAGAGAATGGCTCGAGTAGCCGGCGGCCCAGCATCGCACCTGTCCTGGAGCTGGCCGACAGCTCGGCCCTGCTGCCCTGTGACCTGCTGAGTGACCAGTCGGAGGACGAGATGACGCCGTCAGACGATGAGGGGCTGTCCGTGGTGGAGTGAGTGCTGCCTTCAGGGGACAGAAGCTTGCAACTTCGGGCAGGGAGAGGAAATGGGCCGCTGGACAGAGAATGAGGGGCTGGTGGCTGTGGCCGCATGGGGGAAGGAAATGTCCCCATGAGTGCAAGGTGCCCAGGGAGAGGTGGGCCTGGCCAGCGTTGGCGCTGTGCCCTGATGGGTGGCTGCCCTTGGGCTTGCCCCATTCTCTGAATCGTGTCTCCCAGGCAGCTTTATAGGAGACCTTGTGTGGCAAGTGAATCTTCTAGGGACCCCAACAGGCAGACACAAAAGCCAGGCTGTGCCCGCCCACCCCCTTGTCCTCCTCGGCCTCATGCCTTGGTACCATGGCCCGCTCGGTCGGGGTGGCTGTCCTCTGAGCATGGTCTGCAGAGGTCACAGATAAGGGAGCCTGAGGTGAAGTGCAGGGCAGGCCTGCAGACCACTGGCCCATCTGAGCTGTCATCTTGCCCCAGGTTTGGGCCCCAGGTCTCCCCACTGCAATGATGAGATGGGAGACACCTCAGTCTGTTCTGGCCAGGAGAGACAAGCAGCACCTGACGACAGGGCCACGGCCAGCCTCCGGCCTGTGCAACGTGTTCTTCCCAGCTGGGCTGTCACCGCCACCACTCCCGGCTCCTGACCTTTGCCTCTGGGTCGGAGTAAACACATTTTACAGATAGACCAGCTCCTGAGATCCCCGGGGACAGGCCAGGGGTCCTGGACACCATGGGGCAGGTGGCAGGGCTGGCCTCTGAGGCCATGTCCCTTGAGCCAACTGGAGACAGAGCAGAAGGCCAGCCCCTCCCCAGGCTGCCCGGGCCAAGGCCATGGCAGGGTGGCCAGCCCCTGCGTGGCGTGCACTGGGTGGGACACCTGCAGGGGACAGCCCGCTGGGGAGACCAGTGTGGCCCAGCGGAGGGAGTAGAGGAGCGGCCGAGGGCCAGTATCTGCCCACTGACTGGGGTGCTGGGGGCCTCAAGGAGGGGGTGACTGGGGGAGCCCCTCAGGGTTATACTTCCAGGCCTTGTGTAAGCTCGTGTATGAGTGTTGGGGAGGGTATGCATGTGTATGTTTTGTGTGTCTGCGTGTGCATCCATGTGTGTTGTGTGCGCACTTGCATGTTGCATGAAATCTCACCCCAGACCCCCAGGGAAAAGACAGCAGTCCCGGACACAGCCCTCCTTCCCGCCCCACCCCGGGGGGGCTGGGGCTGATCACGGGGTCCTGGGACTTCCTGGGTGGGAAGGGGAGCAGCATCGAGGGACCCCCCCACGCATGGCTGGTGGGCAGGGCTGGGTCTGTGGGGTTTGGCGCCCCCGTGTGGCCGCCCGGGGTGGGCTCTGCAGCACACTTGGTCCCGGATGTGGGGCTGGGGACCACCATGGTGCTGAGGGCTCCTGTGCACCCCTAGGTACGTGAAGGGCTACCCCCCCAACTCGCCCTACATCGGGAGCTCACCCACCCTGTGTCACCTCCTGCCCGTGAAAGCCCCCTTCTGCTGCCTGCGGCTGGACAAGGTGAGTGGCGTCCAGCAGCGCTCCGCGTGACTTTGCGTTCCCACACGATTGCAAACTTATGGGACGCTGAGAACATGGGGATGAAACCCCGGACCCTCTACCCAGACCCAGACGGTTCCATCCCCCTCTGTTGGAAGCGTGTTTTTCTGAACCGTGCAGAGCAGGTGGGACCCCCGGCCCCTCCTGCACCAGTGTTTCCTGAGAACGAGGACGACACTCTTGTGACCACAGTTCACGCGCCAAAATCAGGTGTCCGTCCGACCCACAGGCCACCCTCAAAATGCGCTGACTGTCCCCATCGCGCAGTTGTCTTCATGGCTTTCCCGTCAGGAGCAGCCCAGTCACACTCTGCATTTAGCGGTCATGTCTTCATCTCCCTCAATCTGGAGCATTCCTCGGCCCGCCCTCGGGCCTCTTGGGTTTGCAGATGTTTTCTCATAAGAAGACTGAGCTTGTGCATTTGGGGCTGGAATGCCCGCAGGGGACGTGTGTCCCTCTCGGAGGCGTCCTTGGGGTGCAGCTTTGATCACATGGTGCAGTGGCGCCCCCCAGGTTTCTCCGCTGTGGAAACTATGCAGTGTCTGCCTTTCTTATTAAGCCGACCTGGGGAGACGTGGGGACTCGGTCCACCCAACTCCCACCTGCTCGTCCCAGCGTCAGGTGGGGCCTTTCTGTTTCCAAATTCCCTTTGCATGTGTTAGCAGCCTGCTGGGGGAATTGCTTCCCCTCCTCCCGCGTGGACGGTTTTCTTCATTTATGTCTATCAGCGTGAAGCCCGGATCCTTGTTGTGCAGAGGGTTATACCCATTACTTGTTATGCAGTATCGTCATCTGTTACAGATGATTATTGATTTTGATGCTTGAACCTTCCCGGTTCTGCTGGTGGGGGCCCTGCCGGCTGGCTTCCGGGTCGTCCCATGAACACTTCATGTTTTCACACCCACGATGTTCCCACCCATGTAGTACTTGCTGCACTCCGGTCCTGGGACCAACCGCTTCTCCAAGGAACCCTGGTTCTCTTTAGTGGAGAATGATGTTTAGAAACCAAAATCTGGGCGCTGGGCATGCTCAGTGCTGGGGCGTTCCTGCGTCTGGGCCTCTCCGCGGACCGAGCTAGGAAACGTGCTTACACACACATGACATATGTCTGTTCATTTCCGCATCTGCTAAAACCACGTGTTCACACGGACGACTCCCTGCCCTGCCTGATATGGCTGTCGCCACCGCGGCCCCGCTCGCCGCTGTGCTCTGTGGGGAGGGCTCACACGGAGCAGCGCGTGTGGGCGAGGACGGGGGTCTGGTGGCACGTAGAGCTCCCGTGGGGCTCGTGCGGGCCATGAAAGGACGAGGCCAAGCGCCTGATGACCAGGTGTCCCGGGCACCGTCTGGTGAGCTGGCGTCCCCGAGGCCCCCATCGCCAGCGGCCGGCCGTGGCAACATCAACCCCTCCCCACAGGGCTGCAAGCACAACAGCTACGAGGACGCCAAGGCTTACGGCTTCAAGAACAAGCTCATCATCGTCTCGGCGGAGACAGCAGGCAACGGGCTCTACAACTTCATTGTGCCACTGCGGGCCTACTACCGCTCCCGCAAGGAGCTCAACCCCATCGTGCTGCTGCTGGACAACAAGTGAGCCCCCCAGGCTGTGCAGCCAGTGTCCGAGAGGAGGCGGGCACCCCACCACCACCACCACCAAGTCCCAGTCAGCACCGCCCGGGCCTGCAGTCTTAGCCTGGGACCACGAGTCTGCAGACCCCACCAGGGTGGAGGGAGGCCACAGAGGGTTCGCCCCACCCTGCCCACCCTGGGCCCCTGACCTGCCTGGGTCTGCCTCCCACCTTTGAGGTGGGGGGACTGGGAACCGCCCTGGGCCCTGGGCCTGGTCCTTTCCCGCTAGAAAGCCCATCCCTTGCTCCCCACTTGCAGATGCCCCCAGCTCCTCCCTGGCTCCAGCTCCTGTGCCCTCTGGCCCTTGGTAGCGACTGTGAGCCCTCTGGGAGGCCTTCCCCCCAGCACCTTCACCTCTGGAGGCCAGGGTCCAGCCTTGGCTATCTGACCTGGGCAATTCCCACCCCTGGGGCCTTGGGTTCCCCTTGGGTAAAATAAAGAGCTGCCCGTTGTCCTCTAAGGCTCCCAGGCCTGTGCTGTGGTCCTGGGGGAGCCCTGCTCTGCCCAGCCTGCTCACCCAGGGCAGGCCCGGACTGGGTGTGGAGGGGGGCGGCAGAGCAGGACAGGCACCACCAGGGCCTGCTGTCTCCACAGGCCTGACCACCACTTCCTGGAGGCCATCTGCTGCTTCCCCATGGTCTACTACATGGAGGGCTCCGTGGACAAGTAAGGCCAGGCCGCCACTGCCTCCTGCAGAGCCTGGAGCGGGTGGGGCACCTGCCCATCTCTTAGCAGGACCCCTGTCCTCTCCCCTCCTCCTCCAAAATATCCTCCTCCCAGGGTGTGGGGAGGCCAGGAGGTCACAGACGGCCCCCACTGAGGGCTAGGGAGGGCAAGGTGCACCCACAGGGAGTTCCCGGGACCCCCAGCCCGGCCCAGGGAGCCTGGCCACGTGGCTCTCCCCGGCAGCCTGGACAGCCTGCTGCAGAGCGGCATCATCTACGCCGACAACCTGGTGGTGGTGGACAAGGAGAGCACCATGAGTGCCGAGGAGGACTACATGGCCGACGCCAAGACCATCGTCAACGTGCAGACCATGTTCCGGTGAGGGCCATAGCGGGGGTGGCCTCTGGGCTCAAACCCAGTCCTGAGCCAGCCCCTCGGCCATGGGGGGCCCTCTGTGACACCCCCTCCCCACAACATGAGCATGGGACCCGCCCTGAGCCTGCTCCTCATGTCTGTGACCAGGGGACCCACCCTGAGACCCAAGATCAGTGACCAGGGGACACCCCCCAAAGCCCCCCCACATCAGTGACCAGCGGACACCCCCGAGCCCCCACATCAGTGACCACAGGACCCCCCCCCATATCCCCCCTACATCAGTGATCATGGAACACTCCCCAGAGTCCCCACATCAGTGACCACGGGACCCCCCCCCATAGGCCCCCTACATTATTGATCATGGAACACCCCCCAGAGTCCCCACTCAGTGACCTGGGGCCCGCCCTGAGCACCCCCTCCCCGCCAGGCTCTTCCCCAGCCTCAGCATCACCACGGAGCTCACTCACCCGTCCAACATGCGGTTCATGCAGTTCCGCGCCAAGGACAGCTACTCTCTGGCTCTTTCTAAATTGGAAAAGGTGAGCGACCCCCGTCCGGCCTCCTGAGCTGTGGGGGCTCGGAGCTGGCACCAGAGCTTGGGGGCAGCGGGTGAAAGGGGCCGAGGGAGCCTACGGGGAGTGGGGGCTACAGGAGGCCTGCCGCCTGCCCCCCTCTGGCCGGGAGCTTCAGAGTCGGGGTGGCTCGGCTCCCATGTGAGGCTCTTGGTGGTGTCGCCCGGAGCTTTAGGAGCATGGGCCAGGAGCAGATACTGTCCCCTAAGGCAGCGTCCAGGCCTGGCCATGTCTGGGGCCAAAGCTACCTTTCAGGTCAGTAACTAACACAGGTGACACCGGCCACTTGTTTCCTCCACCCCAGACACCCTGAAACGTGTCCATTCTGTCAACTGCCCGGCAGGTGCGTGTGCTCACCCCTGGTACAGACGAGGGACTGGGGATCAGAGAGGGGAGGAGCTTGCCTTAGGTCACACAGCAGAGCCGTGGCAGAGCTGGAATCAGCTTTTCAAGGCTCCATGAAGGGCATCAGCCAGGGTTGGGTGTGGAGCCCAGGGGCTTGGGGGCCAGCCATCAGGGACACAGGCCTCGAGCAGGGGCACGGACAGCGCAGCCCCGGGTGGTGTCACCTCATACATTCACTGACTCAGGCTTGTGCTCAGGCCAGTGCAGCACCATCTTCCACAGCGAGGGGCAGGCCCGCGTGTCAGCGTGAGGGCAGCGATCAGGCCGCCCCGGGCAGACAGGGAGCAGGCGAGTCTCCAGAGGAGGCCCGGTCCCTGGGGGAAGCAGCAGCCTCTCCCTGTGAGCCCCACACACCCCAGCCTGGGCTGAGGTCCCGATCAGGGAGCTGCTTGCCCCGTGCCACACGAGGGGAGATCCCGGGGCTGCCGCCACCCAAGCCAGCCTGCCGTCAATGCCAGACAGAAGGGACGCGCCCTGGAGCTTCATCCACCCTGAACCCAGATGCACGGTGGACGTGCGTCCCACCAACCGTGGACTGGCAGGCCCTTGGGGGCCCTGGAGCTCCACTGCCGCTGCTGCCAGAGGGGTGAGCGAAGCCGGGCAGGTGGCCTCGGGGCCCTTGGGGGAGACAGAGCCTTGGAGCCAGCAGCCTGAGAGCTCAGCTCAGCCGCCACCGTCCTGCCCCAGGAGAGGGCTGTGCCCGCACCTCCCCTCCCACCAGGCCCTCCCTGGAGTCTGCCCGGCCCAGCACTTGGGGCCGGCTCCTGGTCCTGAGCCCACAGGACAGCCCACCGGGCCGCTCAGAGGCCCCCTCCCGCAGCCGTGGGCTGACCTCCGTCACTCGAGCTGGAACTGTGGGAAGACTGGAAGGTGGCAGCTAGCCGCAGCAGCCCCAGCACGCCGGGGTTCCGTGTCCAGAGGCTGGGCTGCTTCCCTGGATCTGCGGGACGCTCAGGACCTGGAGGATCCAGTCTGACCTGAGCCTGGATGGGGTGACCAGCATGGAATCGGGCTCAAGGCCACCCAGTCCTGGATGCTGTCCTGGCGCTGGCCCTCTCTCGCCACCTTCCCTCGAGCTAACACAGCTCGTCCCGGGCCTCCCGCCTCCACCACTTCCAGGAGGTGGCCTTGAAGGAGGTCAGGTCAGCAAGCACGTGGCAGATGTGCTCCCACTTGCCTTCCTTCCGTGGCAGACATCCAAAATCCATCTCCCACTCCCGTCCCTCTGTGGCAGGCATCACCAATCAATCACTCCTTCCCCCGCAGCATCGCCTCCAGTGGCAGGTGCAGCCACTCCTCCCCACCTCAGGATGGCGAACCCAGTCGTGGTTCCGCGATCCAAGCCTGGGGAGAAGTCAGGAAGTCGGCGCAGAAGGCCGCCTCGGGAAGCAGCCCTGGGCTCCTGCTGGCTGATGTGGGGCTGAGGTCCCCGTGAGACACTGGATGGTCAGAGCCACCGTCAAGCCCAATACAGATTCTACTTCAAGGAACACTGAGATGTATAAAGAAGAAAATAAGAAAAGTTTCCTTAGACGCAGCCGGCATCTCTGACACCCAGGCACGGTAGCGGCGTGGAGAGGGCATTCCCCAGAAGAGTGGGGAGGGAAGATGCTCTCCTGAAGATCCCCAAGAACGAGACGTGAGAGAGACGATGGGCCGTGCCCACCGCTGCCCCTCCCAGTCCCCAGGACCCGGCTCCTCCGTGGCGCCGTTGCTCTAACGTTCTCAGTGCACGTGACATTCACCTCTGGCCAGGAGCCCGAGTTCTGAGAGGCTTCCCCTCAGCCGGGGCTGCCCCGTCCGGTCCTGCCTCTGGTTCCCGCTCTGTCCCCGATGCTTCCTGGCCCCATGGTTCTCGGGAAGGGCTCGTCCACGCATGTCCATGTGTCTTGCTGTCGCTTGTAATCTTGAGGCTCCAGGTAAAGCCCCGGGTCCCTCCAGGACGGGCTGCAGCATTCGGAGGGTCTTGTGCAGAGTGAAAATGTGGGCCCCGCGTTCAAAAAGCAGGGAAAAATTTCTGTGAAAGGCACTAAAATTCCAAGCTTTTTCCTCCCTTCGGTGGTCTCTGGACCTGTCACAGTTCTGTTCTTCTCGATTCATCAGTGTTGCTCTGAGTAAAGGAAAGTTAACATTTCTAATGACCCCAGGAGTCTCACCATTCGCCCTGTGCCGTGCCACGCGAGCTCTGAATGCGGGTGTGAGGGTACGGAGATTGGGGCCACCACGGCTCCACGTGGGTGTTCTGTGGCCCACACACATCTCGCTCTTACCAGAACACGAAACGCTGCCCACAGCAAACCCGCTGTTAACACCGCATTCTGCCAGGCCTCACCTCTGGACGTGCCGAGACACCCAGGTGGCTGTCCGCCCTTCCCTTCCATGTCGTTTGCAGCCAAGGGAGTAGCCGATGAGGAGGTAGTGTGAAAGAGAGGACTCGGTGTATTTCTTACCTGCTTTCCGGTTCCAGTGGGAGGTGCGGCCTCGGGGGGCTGTCAGAGCTCCTGAGTCCGGGCCGGGCCATGTGCGGTCCAGCAGGGCGATGCCCCAGAGACACCCCGCCCTAACCACCAGAACCAAGCAGAAAGGGTCCAGGCAGAAGGCACTTCGCAGATGGACTGAGTTGAGAACCCTGAGATGGGCTGATCCTGGGCTACCTGGCAGGCCCAGAGATCAGCAGGGTCCTGAGAAAAGGGAGACGGGAGGGTCAGGGTTGACATGGGATGGGGCTACGCTGCGAGCTCTGAAGACAGAGGAAGGGGCCACAGGCCAGGGAAGGTGGTCAGCTTCCAAAAACTGGAGACAGCGAAGCGAAGAATTCCCACCAGAGCCGCCAGAGGGAGGGCGGCCCCGTGACACCTGGGTTCCTGCCCTGTGACACCCGTTTCCGACTTCCGCCTTGCAGAACTGTGAGAGAATAAATCTGTCTTGTTTGAAGCTGCTAAGTTTGTCACTGGTTCCAGCAGCCGCAGGAAACTCACACGGAGCCACTGAATGAATTCCATGCTCACGGAGCATCGGGGACGCCGTACACGAACGGGGAGGCAGGAACGGCACACGTTCCCCCGTCCCATGGGACTTCAGTTACCATACACAAGTTCAAGGATAAAACTACTGAGATTATTAAGAATTTCAGGGTGGCAACAGCAGAGCATTAAACCAAGCATGGGGCCCCGTGTGACTGCCCTGGTCACACGCCCTCGGGCCGGCCCTGGGCCTCACTTTCATCTCATCAGAGCCCCAGATCCTTACTCCTGAGTTCTGGCCCTGAGTGTGTCCATGGGGGACGTGTGGGTGGGTACTCAGGCTGGTAGTTGAGTTGCACTCAACGCACACGAGTGCACGTGCATACGCTTACCGCCCGCACACGTCCCACACACGCGTGTGCCCCCACGCCTGCTGCCCCGCGCCTCTGTGGCCGTGGACACCAGCCAGCCCGGGACGTCCCTTTCCTGCAGAGGGAGCGGGAGAACGGCTCCAACCTGGCCTTCATGTTCCGCCTGCCCTTCGCCGCCGGGCGCGTCTTCAGCATCAGCATGTTGGACACGTTGCTCTATCAGGTCAGTGGGAGGGCAGGCAGGGAGGGTCTGCGATGCCCGGCCAGCAGCCCTGGCTGTCTCTCGATCTCCAGCCAGTGTCAGGCCCTAGTTCTGAGCGACGCGCCTCCCTCTGAGAGTCCCTCCCCAGGTCCCTGTGAGGCTGGCCAAGCCTGAGTGGCTCTGGACCCTGCCCCTGCCAGGGGCAGCGGAAGTCCACCTGTAAATGTGCCCAGTCCCTTTTCTCCCAGAACGGTGCTGCCCTGGGCTCGGCTCCCAGCAGCCTTTGGGTTTCTGATCCCTTTTGACCTAACGCACTTGGCCGAGTGAATTACTGAGGCCAGGAAAGCCTTCCCAGCTTCCATCTGCTGGTGGAGCTGTGCTCTGGGACCAGGCAAACAGGTGGCTTCTGTGTGAGTGCCCGAGAGGCTGTGGGCACCTGGCAGGCGTGTCCGGGGAGCGGGAGAAGGTGCGCCCCTGGGTGCCGCTGCGGATCTGGGCCTGCGGAACTCTGGCCTCACCGCGGCCCCTCCCCGGCCAGTCCTTCGTGAAGGACTACATGATCCCCATCACCAGACTGCTGCTGGGCCTCGACACCACGCCGGGCTCCGGCTACCTGTGTGCAGTAAGTGACCGGGCCAGGCGGGTAGGGCGTGTGGGCCGTTCTCAGGGAGGCTGGTCACCCAGCAGCCGAGGGATGCCGGGCACCGCCGCCCGCCAAGGCCGGCCCCCACACAGGGCTCCCGACGTTCCAGATGAAAATCTCCGAGGACGACCTGTGGATCCGCACGTACGGCCGCCTCTTCCAGAAGCTGTGCTCCTCCAGTGCTGAGATCCCCATCGGCATCTACAGGACCGAGTGCCACGTCTTCTCCACCTCGGAGGTGCACAGGCGGGCAGGGGCTCCTGAGGAGCTGGGCGGGGAAGTGGCTTGGCACCGAGGCGGCACCCCCATTTCTCTGTGACCCATTTTGTTTGGGGTATCTGGGCCTTTGCTGTCGGCCCTTTTGGGGTCAGGTCCACGTGCCTCCATACGTGGGGCATCTGGTCAGGCGGCTGTGACCCCCGAATGGGAGAGGGGAGGCTCAAGGGCGCTGTGGGGCCTTGTGCCCATGAGGGGCTCAGGCAATGTTGGGGGCAGGGCCTGAGCCCCCACAGGTACCCAGGCTCCCCTGGCTTCCTTTGCAGCCCCACGACCTCAGAGCCCAGGTGAGTGGCCTCTTCAAGCCACACGAGTTCGCTTCACATGGAAGCATCTTGGCATGTGCAGTCCTGCCTGTGCCTGCACCCACCCTGGCCTGGGAGGGACACAGGGCCCCAGGCAGCAGCAAGGTCAGGGAGCAAATGCCCAGGAGGTCAGCCACGATGCAGCTCTGAAAGGGCTCATGGCATCACCCTCCCATAGAGACAGGGAAACTGAGGCCTGCGGTGGGAAGCCCAGGCCCCTCCAGCCCCACATGCCATCTGCATGTCCTGCCGTGGCCCCCATCATGGGAGGTATCCCCCTACTGGTCTGGCTGACTACCATGCCCTCAGCCCCCACCCTCTCAGGGGTGCTGCCTGGGTGAGGGTCCCCACATCACCCCCAGAGCCCCACTCACCCACTGAGCCACCCACTGGTCCTGGGGCTTCCCAGTCCACCATGCTCCCTGACCCCCTCTATCCCATCCCCCCAAGATGGGGAAACTGAGGCACAGAGAGGGGTGACCCTCCCATGGCAAAGTCAGGACATGCAGGAGCCCGGATGGGACCCACAGAAACGAGGGCCCAGAGAGGTCGCGGGAGCTGCTCTCACCCACCCAGCAATTTGGGGACGGACCTGCATCCAGGGCCGAGGTGGGCGGTGTGGGCTCCAGAGGAGGGCTCCGGCCTGGCCACCTCTCCCAGCTGGAGAAAGGACACTGGCGTCCCTGGGCCCTAGAGTCCCCCAGCGGGGGTGGGCTGTTCTGTCGCCCCAGCCTCTGACCCGCCCCAGCCCCGCCCCGACCGCGCCCCTCCGTGACCACGCCCCTCCCGTCCCCGCCCGCTGCATCCCCGCCCTGTCCCCGCCCCTCTCAGCCCAGCCCAGCCCCGTCCCCGCCCGCTGCACCCCACCCTACAGGCCACGCCCCTATAGGCCACGCCTCCGGCCCCACACTCTGCATTCTAGCCCTGGCCCCGCCTCTCTCAACCCAACCCCGCCCCGTCCCTCTGTGGCGAAGCCCCCTGCCGCGCCCCGCCCTCCCTCCCTCCCTCCCGCGCCCCTCCCTCCCGGCCCCACCCTCCCTCCCCTCCCGGCCACGCCCCTCCCGCCCCGCCCTCACCCCCCGCCTCGCAGTCGCAGGTCTCGGTGAGCGTGGAGGACTGCGAGGACACGCGGGAAGCCAAGGGGCCCTGGGGCGCGCGGGCGGGCCCCGGCGGAGGTAGCGCGCACGGCCGGCACGGGGGCGGCGGCGACCCGGCCGAGCACCCGCTGCTGCGGCGCAAGAGCCTGCAGTGGGCGCGGAGGCTGAGCCGCAAGAGCCCCAAGCCCGCGGGCAAGGCGGAGGCCGCCGAGTGGATCAGCCAGCAGCGGCTCAGCCTGTACCGGCGCTCCGAGCGGCAGGAGCTCTCCGAGCTGGTCAAGAACCGCATGAAGCACCTGGGGCTGCCCACCACCGGCTACGGTAAGGCCCGCGGGACCGCCCGCACAGGCCAGCAAGGCCACAGCGGCTGCCGCGCCCAGGCGCCGGGGCTCCCGTCGGTCCGCCTCTCCGTCTGCCTTGCTGGCCTCCGCTCACCCGGCTCCAGGCACCCACCACGAGGCCGGGCAGAGCCCCTCTGGTGTGAGGAGGATGCAGGATCCCCCAGAACTGGTGCCCAACCCCATAAGGAAGGCTCATCCCTACTACTCTGGGGCCTCAGCTTCCCCACCTGTAAAAAGAGGGCTGGAGCTGGCTGTGCCTGGCACGCAGTGCTCCTGAGGAGGAGGCTGTGGGGTGGGGAGAGCCAGACTGGGCTCCCTGACAGCCCAGGGCACAGGCTTGGTTGGGGACAGACTGGTCACCTCCAGCCAGTCCTGCTGGGATCAGGAACGTCCGGGGAGACCCCAAAGCCCCCAGCAGACAGAGTGCAGGGGGCGTGTCGGAGGACTGCTGGGCAAATGGCCCGGCACCAGGACACTCCTCCATTGACCACGTGGGACCCACTGTCATTCTGGGCCATGGCCACCCCATTTCTGCTGCTTCATGGTGACACCCCCCACCAGGCATTCATTTTGTCAGCGGATTCACACAGCTCCCTTCTCTCTGTAGCTTGTTTTGGGGAGGAGTTTGTTATCTTAACCAAGAACAGGCCTGGGGTGCCCTGGCTGCTCAGAAGAGAGAACCTCATCCCCTCCCTCACTCTAGAGACTGCCTCTGTTGATGGGGCCGAAGGGGACCCAAGCTCCCCACTGCTGTCTGGCCGCGTCCACACCCTGGGCTGGGTCAAGGCTCTGGCCTGCATTGGGTCCATCTTGGGACCTCTGCCCATCGCTCAGGCCTGGCTCTGTCCTGCAGCGGGCGCCTGCTCTCCCCATCCTGCTTCCTGCCATCTGTCGCCTGGGCCAGGGTCCTGGAGCTCCCCTCCAAATGGGATCAGGTGGCTCAGGGCTCTCCCAGGAGCTGCCCAGGGGTCACCTGGGCCACACCGTCTGCTGGCCGTGCATACCTGGGCCTCAGGAGAGCTCAGAGGCCAGGGGCTTGGGGACAGGTGACCCACGAAAGCCACCCCAGCCCTGTTCCCACCACACCGGTGTCCCTGCCCAGGTGGGTACTCTCACCCCCTTTCCGGTGGGCACTGATGCCGAGGCTCTGAGTCGGGTATCCAGCGTTTATGGCCCCACAGCAAGTATGGCAGATGGAGACTCCAGCCAGGTGACCCCCAGAGCTGGCACCTGCCGCTCAGCGTGCCCCTCGGCCTCCATGACCCCCGCCGCCCCACCCGAGCTTGGCAGAGAAGAAGTGACTTCCATTCAGTGACAGACTCACTTCCCAGGTGGCCAGTGCTGGCTGCTGCCAGTCCCGGTGTGGACGGCCTCCCGTGTGCAGCTGGCTGCCCCCACCCCGCTGTGCCGGCTGCCGCGCGCTGCTTGCTGACCTCTCTCTCTCTCTCTGTTTCTGTCTGTCCCTCTTCCTGTGTGTTCTGTAGAGGATGTAGCAAATTTAACAGCCAGTGATGTCATGAATCGGGTAAACCTGGGATATTTGCAAGGTAATTCTGCTCCGGCGGACTTGGGCTGCCGCTTAAGGGGGCATGCCAACCCTTCGCTGACAGGCAGCCTGGTGCCCGCCCTGCCCTGGCCAGGCAGGCAGACAGGACAGGAGACGAGAGAGGGTCCCTGCAGGCAGGGCCTCACGTGCTCCCAGACTGCCCCATCACGGGGACTTTGACACCTTCCTCCTCTATTGATGACGGGACTGACCCCGAGGAGGCACGTGGCGTGTGCTGGAACCCAGACTGTCACTGTGGCTCCAGCTCGCCCCAGTACTTCTAGTCTGTTGTTTGAGATAAGCCCTGCTGTCCAGGTCTGCCCTGACCGCACAGGCGGGCCATCCAGCCTGCAGCAGCCCCCTGAGATGCCCAAGGACCCTGAGCCCACCCAGCTCTCGGGAAGCATCCAGACTGATGGTCCCAGCCAGGGTCCCGCATCCCAGCACGGTGGAGCATGGTGAAGCCCAGGAGCTGGAGTCTGCTCCGCCCTGAGCCTTCATGGGCCGAGCCAGGTGGATGGTGACATCACTGCCTGCTGGGGCTTCCAGAGGGGGTCTCTCTCTTCAGTTGAGACTAAGCCTGTCCACACCGCATTTCTCATCTAGGGGCTCAGGTGCTGCCCGGGCACCCCATTTCTTCCAAGAAGATGCCCCACAGTCCCCAGACCCACCCCGAGACCCTGACAGAGGTCAGAGCAGAGTCCAGGCCACAGGCCCTGCTGCTGAGACCTCTTCCTTCCCTGGGGGCTCCCCGCGGCCCTAGGGGAGCTCAGAGCCTGCATGCTCAGGCCCCCTGGAGCAGCCCCTTTCTTCAGGGGTGACCCTGGCTGATGGGGCCTCCTGGGCCTGGGCAGGCATTAACTCAGGTGGGACCATTTCTGTGGCTGGCTGGGAGCCGTGTCGGGGCAGACCCAGGCCCGGGAATGGAAACCTCCGTGGTTCGCAGCCTGGCTGGGCCTGTGCAGGTGAAGTGTTGGCATCTCTCCGGTTCCTGTGCTCTTCTTACCCGCAACCCGCAGCAGCGTTCATGGAAGACCCCCGAGCCAGCACGGGTCCAAGTCTGGCAGCTTCCATGAACGGGACAGCTGCATCACCCCCTCCCTGTGCCCAGCTGCACCCCTGCTTCCCGCCAAGGCTCCAGCAGGGGTGGCCTCGCCTGCACAGTCACCAGCACTCACTGGGTGGTGTTTCCCGAGCTCCCCCTTGTGTGGACGTCAAGAGGCGCCTGGGCCAGGACATTAAACCAGTGAAGAGGCGTGATCCTGGGGGGAGGTGACCCCACTAGCCAGGACGGCAGGGCGGTGCCCCCAGGGAGGGTGTCGTCAGGAGGCCCCTCCGGCCCACAGGGCCTGCAGCTGCACGCAGATGAGGGAGGAGATGACCCAGCCCCAATGCACAGACACGACCCCTTCCTCACAGCCACCCTCAGAGGGAGGTGCTCCCCCAGTTCGTAGAGGAGGCTGAGGCTCTGGTAGGTGCGGGGATGGGACCCAGGGCTGTGGGGCTGGGAGTCCGGTCTGCAGGGTCAGGGGGGAGGCGGGGGCCCCCATGGGGTCCTGGAATACCAGGCAGGGGGATATGGAGACGGGGGCAGGAGTGAGGTGGCACAGCCCTGGGTCATCTGCCAGGAGAGCCATTGCCAGCCCCTGCCCCAAGCCTGGGCCCTCATCAGAACACAGCAGTCATGGCAAAGCTGGCCCGTCCTGGGGAAACGGGGTCAGTGCCCTGTGACTGACCAGCACCTCTCAGTCCAGCCCCCAGGAGCACAAAGCCGGGCCTGGCTCAGGCCAAGCTCTGCTAGTCTCAGGAACACCCGTGGTCCGTCCCCCCAGAGGGGGAAGCAGGGGCCCAGGCTGGGTGGGGAGGGCCCTGGCCTGATGACAGCCTCTCCATGGGCATTGTCCGGACTGGCTGTGTCTCAGGATGGCCACCCTGCTGGCGGCTATGGTCAGGAGTGTGGGGGCCCCCGGAGCCTTCGAGAGCTGCCTCTCTCTCCCGCCTGCGTCACCTGCCACTGCCTCTGTGCGCTCCCTGTGCCCCTCCTCCCTGCTGCCCACCCCGGAAATGCATGCCAGGTGCCAGGGGCTGGGTGGTGCACCTTCTGCACAGCCTCCGGCAAGGGCCACCGGGTCGGGGGCCAGCCGCTTCCATCTAAGGGCCTCAGCCACGGGTTTGGGTAAAAGAGCCAGGATAACCGTGGCCAAAGGGCAGAGCAGCTCACCCTCACGTCCTGGATGCGGACATAGAGACTGGCACCAGGTGACTGCCAGAGGGTCTGCACATGTCCACTGGTCCCCCAAGTCCCAGCCTGTGCCCCCCGCCTGCCTCCCAAGAAGCATGCTGTGCTCGACCTGCCTCTGTGGGGATCCCGAATCCAACACCAGATTCGGCTCCGAACTCCCCATTCAGAGAAACAAGACACACCCCCAGAGGGCTGGCCAACCCTCAGCTTCGCCAGCTTCACAGAGAATTCTGTTCCTTTGGCAAGGACACTCCTGACAGGAGGGGATGGTGCAGAGAAAAGGAAATGGGAGGAGCCAGGGGCAGAGGCACCCAGAGCTGCCAACCCTCTGGAGGGTTGTCCCCTGATGCCCCAGACTGGGTCAGGAGGTGCCTTTGACATCATCTGATGGGTTAGCTGAGGCCACAAGCCATTCATTTCCCTGCCAGTGAACTCGGGGGCACTGCCAGCACGGTGCCGAACCCCATCCCTGTATTTGGCCAGGGAGACATCCGTGAGATGACCGCTGTTTCTCCAGAACCTATTCCGGCCACTCCATGAGCTGGACACTGGGCTGTTCTTGTGACGGGCAGCAGCCCAGGCCTTACATGTGCCAAAGGGACCCCTCCTCTGGGCTGACAGCCGCAGGAGGAGGTTTTGGGAAACGGAAGACATGAGTCCAAAGCAGAAGGCTGAGTAAGGGGAGCAGAGGTGGCCTGCCCAGGCCAGGGACCCAGGGCTCTGGGGGCTCGGGGAGCCTGAGGGCTGGGCTAGGTGTGTGTACTGAATATAGGTGTGCACAGGTGTACACAGGTTTATGCAGGTGGTAGGTGCGTGCAGGTGTGCTCGACGCCTCTGCTCAAGGCCACCACATCATAAGATTCAGGCTGCTGGGGCTGAGCAAGCTGCCCGGGGTGTGGGTCGGAGCCAGTGCCCTGCGCCTCGTGGCTGATCCCTGCCTGTGCAGGGCGGGGCCCGGGGCAGGTGTATGTCAGGGACAACCAGCCCTGGATGGGTTCCCCAGGACAAGAGGCTCAGGCAGGATGGCCGGAAAGGCTGGCAAGATTCTGCAGCTGGACCGGAGCTCTCGGCTCCTCCGGGCTGGCAGGCTGGCAAAGCGGAGGGGAGCGGGGTCTGAGTGGTAACCACCCACTGGGGCCCTGTCTCCTTTGCAGATGAGATGAATGACCACCAGAACACCCTCTCCTATGTTCTCATCAACCCCCCACCTGACACGAGGCTGGAGCCCAACGACATCGTGTAAGTACTGTGTCCCCGAGCAGCGCGGACACCGGCCCGTCCACCGCTCCTTGTATAGACGGTGCACAGCCTCGCTGGGCGTCCCAGCCAGGCCCACTCGTTGGCCTCCCTGGGTGGGAGGGCAGCATCCAGGCTCCTCCTACCCCCCACAGGTATCTCATCCGCTCCGACCCCCTGGCCCACGTGGCCAGCAGCTCCCAGAGCCGGAAGAACAGCTGCAGCAACAAGCTGGCCTCCTGCAACCCCGAGACCCGAGACGAGACGCAGCTCTGAGCCAGCCCTGCACGGAGCCCCCACCCTGGAGCAGACCTCGTGCCCGCCCCCGCCGGCATGCGGCGTGATGCATGGAGCCTGCAGGGCCCTCATGCCAGCCTGGCCCTCCCTGCAGCGCTGGCCCGGCCCCCCCACCCTGGGCAAAGCTGCTCCCGAAACTTGACAGAGAGAGGAGACCGAGCACCACTGGCAGGAAGCCTTTTTTAACCTGTTTTTTACAAATCTATACAATCTATGTCTCTTTACACATATGTACCGCAACTCGTGACCAGGTCTGGCTGAGGTGGAGGGAGGGCTGCATGGGGAGGGGACAAGCCCTGGGCCAGAGTCCTGGGCCCCAACATGCACATGCACACAGACACACCCAGCTCATGTGGGGAGTGGGGACACATGGCATCTGGCGACTCTTGGAGCCCGTGCTTTCACTGCCATGCCCTCGTGTCTAACTTGAGTCGGGCCGTGCCCACGGCTCTCGTGGGTCCCAGCTGGCCCTGGGCACACAGCTGTGAGCTGTGAGGGGAACCTATGCTGGTAAGCTCTCCAGAGCCGCACGGCGGGAGAACACCTTCCGGACGGCAAGGCAAGGCCACTCGCTGGGGCCAAGGGCTGGAAGTGTGCCTTGGCAGCCCCGGCCTGTGAGGAGGGCATGAGGCTGCCACAAGACCCCCGGGGGCCCTGTGACATGTCAGCATTCTCACAGCCAGTGACCCTGTGGGAAAGAATCAGATGTCATTTCCTCTGTTTTTACACTGAACTTCTGCAGCCGCGGCATTGGCGGGGCGTCAGGCAGAGGACGGTGCATTTCCACGGACCATTGGACACCCCTTTGACCCCGACCTGAAGCCAGCCCCGAGCTGACGCGCTGGCCCACATCTCTGGATCGGAGATTTGTCTCCTCGGCACAAAAGGGGTTCTGGGAGGCCAGCCATTCAGACTGCTGCCCTGGTTCCTCTATGACTGTTTGTGACAGGTTTTGCACAGTCAGCATTGGGACCTTCTATTAAATAGATGCATCCTGCAGACATGAGCATTGGTTATAAGGCACCCCCTGTACAGCTTCACACTCCAGGCCTGGGTACACCCCTCCTGTTTGACCCATTTCAAGGGTTAGAAACACCACCCTCTAACCCCACATGGGCAAGCCCCTGGTGCGCCGAGAAAAGCCACTGGTTTGGGCACACCTGATAGCAGGGCCCTCCTGGAATGGGAAAGCAAGTCCTAGGTGGCCGTCTGGTGATTGGGTCCTGGTGGCAGGGAAGCATGGCTGTCGGGGGTCGGGGAGTCCAGGAGGGCTCCCTGGCAAGCTGCCTCAGCCCTGGAGCCCAGACGTGCCCCTGGGGTGGGCATGGAGACCCCAGGCCCTGCCCAGAGTCATGCGCACTTGTGTGCGTGCATGCAACTCCCTGACACCACCAGCTGTCGGGGGCCCTGCATTAGGGGCAGGGCTGCCCCAGGGGACGTGTGCACCACGCCAGCACAAAGTCTCTCGGGTTCCTTTTGTGGGGGAGCTCTTGAGTACCCCAAGGCTGGAAGGGGAGGGATCCATGCAGCTGCCAGGGCAGGGTGGCATGGGACGACGGCAGCTGGTAGAGGGGCCTCCCTGAGGGAGGGACATGACCCAGGGGTCCCCCTCTCCTTCCAGCGCCCTGGCCACAGGTCCAGTTTGTCCCCTGACCTGGCCACCTGGGACCCTCCCACTCAGAAAAAGCGTGTCTACAAGCACTTGGTGTGGGGCGTTGGGGACAGGCTAGCCATGGTGGTCAGGAAGGGGCTGCTGATCAAAGTGGGGAAACCCCAGGGCCCTTGGAGTGACAGGCTGTCGACGTGGGCCAGGGTGGCCTCTGGGGACCAGGGCCCGTCCCAGTGGGGTGTCAGTGGCTCCCAGGGTCCTGCCAGTGAGGGCCCCTCCTCTGCCATCACCCCGCAGCAGGGGCATCTCTCCTCTGCGGGCACCCACACCCCAGCTCCCTGAGGGAGGGGCCCCACCTGCCGCTGGGCCGGGGCTCCATCTAGGTGGGCTGCAGCCCCTCGAATCCCAAGCTGGGACGACAGCATCAGAGAGGCATCCCGGGACGTCACCTGACTTCAGTTTGGGATTGACAGGACCGGGGGGTGGGGAGCGAGTTTTGCCTCCAGACGGGACGGAAGAAAGGGGTCTGAGCAAAGGCTGAGGCGCTGAGTGCCGGGGTCAGCGCTACCTTGAACGGGCAAAGATGAGTCTCAGTGTTTTGTGGCAGAAGTTCTCAGACAGAAAATTTCAAACATATGAAACTTCTATTTTCTTTATTCCTAAACTAATAGAAAACTGTTTGCTCAAAATACCAACAATGCGTCGGACGCTTCTAGCTTACACGTCAGTGAAATGAACGACAGCGATGCTCTCGGGGCGGCGGGGGGGGGGGGCAGGGTGTGGGAGGGGGTGGCAGGAACGCTGGGCTTCAAGGCACCGCGCCTGGGAGGAGGCTCAGGTGTTTACACACCGCGAACTCCAGGCACCAGAAAGTCTCAGAAAGCAGCGTGACTGACGAGCTGGGAGAGGAAGGGGGTGGAGGCACACAGGACACTTCCTGAAGCCACAGAGGCAGAGAGACGGAGAGACTAAGGTCGGGCAGGGGGCAGCAGACCCCCAGGGAGCTTGCCAGACAGGCCCACCGAGTGGACAGAGAAGCAAGGCCCCAAACTAGCGAGAGACACACGAGCCCCGTGGCCAGGGCACAGGAGGAACGCTGGCCCATGGGCCCCCCGACTCGGGGACACAGGTTTGGGTGGCAGGATTCTAGTCCCAGGTCACACTCGAAGCCATAGCCAGGCCTTCCTCTGGCCTCCACAGAACCACAGAGGCAGGCCTCCCCGCCCATGTTGTCGGACCCCATCCTAACCCTGGTCCAACCCTGACAGTCTTGAAGGTGCCCTTTCCTCCTGGGAGCGCAAGCAGGACTCTCGTACACTGCACGCGCTGTGAAGGGGCCCTCTGTGCTGGGAGCCGCAGCACTTTCGGTGAAACTGGTGGCGAATGCTTCCCGCAGGGGGGGCAGGGCCTCAGGTGGAGGGCACCTGGGGGAAGAGGCTGCTGAGGGCAGGCGGGGATCCAACAGTCATGAGGGTTCGATGCACGCTGAGGTCTGTGGTCCCAGGCGGTGGCCATGAGCCACTCCAAGTCCAGGACCTCAGCTGGCCTGCCTGGGGACTGGGGGCTGGGCTGGGGGAGTGCCTCCTGGCATCCCTGGTCCCCTGGGTAGCCACCTTGCCAGAGCCACCTTCGTCCCCAGCAAGGTCAGCAGGAGCTTGAGGAACCAGCAGGGTGGTCTTGGGGGCCTCAGGGACACCCCAGAGCAAGGCCTCCAGCCAGACACAGGCCCTGCAGCATGTCCGCAGAGCCCACAGCATCTCAGGCACCTTCCACCCTGCCCTGGTCGTACAGCACTCAGCCGGGAAAGACACCAGCGGGTCTGGACTGACAGCCCCAGGCCTGGCCCAGAGCCTGGGGGTCCTTAGGGGAATGACCATCCATGCCCGTGACGCCCTGCAGGGGCACCTGCCTGGAGCAGGGGCAGCTTGCACAGCCCGCACAGGCGGCCCCTGGGGTCTCCGGCTCCCAGAAGCGGTGGGCCCAACACCCTCTGCAGTGGGGGGACCTCCAGGCCCCCACCTGGCACATCCCTGTAGGCTCCAGGAGGCCCGCTGGACCCAGGAGGCATGGACCAGGCTTGGGGGTGCCTCGTCTCCTCAGGGAAACGCCCTTCCTGGCAGCTCTGCCTCCACCGGAGACAAGGCTCAAGAGCCCCAGCCCCGTCGGGCAGCGACGTCCCCGCAGGCCCCAGAGACCCCACCCACTCGCGGCCGGGACTGTCTCTTTGTGGTTAGCAGCTGGGGGCTTGGACTCGGGCCCCTCCTTGAAAGACGCAGGAGCAGCAAAAACTCTGAGGCAGACCATCTGTCAGAGACAGGCCCCCGGTTATCAGGGACTGTGTTCCCTGTGGATGCCCCATCCTAAGAGCCTCAGGGAGGGCCTGCGAGAGCAGGGCGACCCCCAGCCCCAGTGCCACGGATGTGGAGCCTAGTGGGGCTGGGTGACCAGGCGGCCTTTCAGGGGCGTGCGGTTGCCACCGGGGGTGCAGTGTGAGTGTGCGCATGTGCAAGCATGAGAGTGTACACGTGTGTGTGAGTGTTGCAAGTGTATGTATCAGGCACAGCGCACAGAGCTCAAGGGTTCTGGCCCTCCGAGGCCGTGGAGGGAGGCAGTGGCGGGGGCCACCTCCTCCTCTGAGGGTCTCATCACAGTGTTCTAAGACCCAGCCCAGGAAGGTGCCCAGGGGTGTGATGGCCAGAGGCCTGGGAACCAGCCTGGGGTCCCCATCACCCCAGGGCCAGCCCCTGCCCAGACACTTGGGCAAAATGTGCAGCATGGAGCCTTCACGGGCTGTGCCAGGCCTTCTGGCGGTCCCCCAGCCGGTCAGGCCCTGAGGCTGCAGCACTGCCCCCTGGTCCCACAGTCGGCCCGCTGCCCCCCAGGAGGCTAGAGCCTCGGGCTGCAGTTTCATCCCTTGGAAGACTCGGTGTGGGTGGGGGAGCAAGACGTGTTTTTGATGGAGAAAGCATCCCTGCCCGAGACACTTCCACACCAGCCCCCCAAAGTCTAGGTGACTGGAGCCCAAGTGAGTAACTTGTGTTCTCAGCAGCACCCCATTCTGGCCCTGATCACCTCCAAGGGACCACCCAGCCCCACTGGTCCCTTCTCTGGTGAGGACCCCCATTACCTGGAGCGGCTCTTTGTTGGGGGAGGGGGTGTCCCCAGGAGGTCTTCAGCGCACCTGGCCCCCAGGCAGAGGACCTCACGACAGCCAGCATCATGCCTCCAGGGTCTCGCTGTGGTTGTGGGGGGAGGAGAGCCCACCCATGCTGCTCTCCTGCTGCCCTGTCCTCGACCCAGGGACCCAGGCCACAGCCCCCTGAGACATCGCGGGCTCCAAACTTGCTCTGGGCATCTGCCACAGCCCCCTCTTCTGTCCCATCTCAGGGCCCTGGACCTTCAGGCCTACAGCTCCCGGAGTCCAGGACAGAGGGGCACATGGGGGGGTCATCACCCGCCTCGGGCTCTGAGGTGGCTGGTTCCCTGCTGTCCATATGGGCTCGGGGGTCCTCCCTGAGAGCTGGTGCTGAGCCAGGGTCCTCAGCGAAAGGGGCTGAGGTGGACAGAGGAGCCGCAGCCCACACAGAGCCGAGCACGCAGGGGCCTCAAAGCCCTTCTCCAAGCCCAGAAGACAGGGCGACAGCAGGCACCCAATTCAGGGCTGGCTCATCCTCAGGCCCAAGTCCAAACCCAGCTCATCAAACCAAGACAGTCTTCGAGGCGTCTTGCTCGGGGCTGCGTTCCAGCTGCAGACTCCCGAGAGGAGCTGGCGTCTCAGGGGCTTTGGCTCTTACTCACACCTCCAGGAGCATCCTGGGTGACCGTGAGCTTCCTGCACGTTTGCTCCTGGGCTCTCCTGTGACCACTTCACCCGGTGCGTTTCTGACGCAACTGGCCACGAGTGGGCCCAGAAACCCTCTGCTTCCTTGTTGGTCTGTCACCCGGCCACCGCTCTGCACTCTGATACTTGTCACCTGTTCCTGTTTGTCTAGGAAGCTTTCATATTTCTGCAAATAACGACCATTTGGGCTTTTCCTTCTCTCCCAGTCTTGTTACAATGGCTCGGACGCCAGTAAAACCTGACCAGGTGCTGTGACTGCCGGCAGCCCGGCCTCCATCCTGACTTAACTTGGAATCCTTCTGGGGTTCACTGTGAAATGTGGAGTTTGCTACCGAGTGAGTTATAATTGCAAATTTATCATGAATACATATTGAATGTTAACTTTTTTTAGTTTACAAAACTTTTTTTTTATCACCAATGCATATTGAATGTTACTGACTTTTTTTACATACGGTTTTTCTTTTTTACATGACTACTGTGAACGGCACAGATACGTTTTCTCAGACTGCAGCTTTTATTCCTGGTGGAATGCTGTTGAGCAGGTTTCAGTCGCCCCAAACCCTGCGGGATTCCCTTTAGTACCTGTGCCAGCCTGTGCACACACGTTCACCACAACGACCTGGACGTGGCCTTCTGTCCGTGTGCGACTGTGGCCGGGTTTGCACAGAGTAACACGACGGTTTCACGGAGCAGCTCCCCTGTGTTGTTTTCTGTTTCATAAATGTCAGCTTTCTCATTTCGAAATTCTTCCTTTTACTTTCATTTTTATTATTATTTTAGCCTCCTTGGCTGAAAGCTCATTTCATTTTTTTCAGTTTCTTAATTTTTAACAAGTACATCCAAGACTGCAAATTTCTCTCTGAGGACAATTTTGGGAGCATGGTGCAGGTGGTGACATGCGAAATGTTTAAGACACCCCTGAGAGGAGCAGTGGGTATCCCAAACGCCAGGACCTGTCACCAGGCTGCAGGGAGGAGGCCATGCCCAGGCGTCGCAGAGATGGACATGCGGACGACATGCGTTTGCTGCTGCCTCTGTAAACCGCAAACTTCGCGGCTTCAAACACCACAGATTTACTATCTTAACAGTTCTGCAGATCAGAAGTCCAACACGGACCTCAAAGAGATAAGATCAAGGTCTGGAGGCTCCACGGAGAAGCCATGCCCTGGCCTTGCCCAGCTCCCGGTGGCCGCCCCCACTCCTCGGCTCCTTCCTCCATCTTCCGAGCAGCAACGCTGCATCTCTCTGTGCCTTTCCTCGGCCGCCCCAGCTCCTTCTCTGACCCGCTCCTCGGCCTTCCTCTTACACTTTCCAGGACCCCTGTGATCACACTGGGCTCACCTGCATAAGCCAGGATCACCTCCCATGTCACGGTCGGCTGAGGAGCAAGCTTAATTCCCTCTGCAACCTCCATGCCCCCTTGCCATCAACCACACATATCATGGGCTCTGGAGAGGAGGACGTGGACGTCTTGGGGATCATGACTCTGCCTCCCACACTGACCAACGGGCCCGAAGAGAGCACAGAAACACAACCACGGTGGGGAGAGGGTGGTATTTCCCAAGACAGCCCTGGGATCAGCGGATAGCCACACAGAAAGATGCTATGGGCTTCTACTTCACACACAACCCATAAAAGCCAGCTCTAGGTGCACAAAGGCCCAAACTACAAAGGCTCCAGAAGTTCACCTCAAAACTCCCTCATGACCTTGCGGTAGCTCTAGTACGAACATTGATACGTGGACCAAATAAATCTTAAGAACTTCTGTTTATCATAACACCAAAAAGAAAATGAGGGAGCTGGCCCAGTGGCATAGTGGTTAAGTTCGCATGCTCTGATTCAGCAGCCCA